ACTAACTGGGTGATAAATCTGTAATAGATTTCTCATAGATGGCGCTACGACTAAAAAGTCGTTGAAGGACCAAGTACAAAGACACGACGCAAGCACATAGAAAAATTCGCGAGGTCCGTTGGTTCGTTCCATGGCTTAGTTGGTATAGCGTCTGACACGGTATGCAAGAAGACGTCGGTTCGAATCCGACCGGATCGAAGGAATTTTTCTGAGTGTTTTTTCTGAGTGTTCGATCTTTGTATTAATAATTATAATAAATTTATTTTGTTACAGAAAAAAAGGGGTAGAAAAAGGAGAAAGCTTGAAGCATCACACAATCAGGCATGCCCCTCTGAAAAATCAACACCATCGCAGTCCGGTGTTCAATCGACATCATCAAAACGAACAGTCTCAAACAGAAATTGCTCTAACACTACTATACGACCACCAAGTTCTTCCTGTGAATGGTCTTCGAACCTTGAACCGTTCACATCTTATCCGTCAATATCTTCAAGTGAAGGATCGGTGTACCCATCGAAAGATGGGTCATCCTCATTATCATCAGTTGAGTACCCACCAGTTTCTGGATATACAGGAGATCTAAGATCCTCATTTCAATGGATGAACTCAATTGCCACGTTATCGAATGAAAGGATGACACCATACCGAAAATCACAAGGTGCTGTGCCATCATCTATAAAAGTGACTTCAAGTGCAGATCCCTCGAGCTTGCCAGGTATTTCAGCATCCGCTGAAAGTCTGGCAGCATCTGTTCATCACGTTAAACATGGATGCTCAAATGTTCCTATCAGTCAACCAGGAGCATGGTCGTTGCACTCAGTTCAACCATTCACATTTGAGACAGCATCATCAGAGTCTTCTACATTTGAGACTCTTTCACCCGAAACTATTTCTGCAGTCTACCCATATGAAGATGCCTCACATGAGACTGACAATGTCATTTCATATGAGTCTTCGATGCATGAAAGTCCTTCTCCAGAAGCTGTTATCTCTGACGGTTATAACAGAAATGCCTCTTCCTGTGGGACTGCTTCATATGACACTGCTTCACACGAGACTGCTTCACGGGACACTGACTCACCCGAGATCATCATACCTGAGTGTATCATGCCTCAGCTGCTTGCCTGCTTTCCAGGTTAGTTTGTTTAATGGATTTACAAAATTCCTTTAACATATTATTTTTCTGTACTACATGTTTTATAATTTTTAATTACCGTACTGCTATTGGTATTGCTAAGCGGGCAACCACATCTCAACAAAACATTTTTTTCAGTCTGGCCTACACCGGAATCTATGCAATCGACATCTCCGCCAAATTCCGACTTGCAGTGGTCGAACACAGAGATTCAATCAGTGCCGCAGTTGCAACAGCAAAATCCAACTTTGCAATGTGATCATCCAGAATGGTTCGGCCAGCAACCATATTATTGCGAGCCTCAAACCAACATTAACAATGCAGCAACCTTGTCTCAATCACCATGTGAGTATTCCTGTCTAATCAAATTGTAAATTTATGTGATTTAATACACAAATTTCATTCAACAATATTCATTAATGTATTTCTATTTACATTTTTTTTCCTAACACCTACTTTTTACCTTTCACAACGATTATTTACTCGAACTTAAAATGTCCCCTTTTGAGGTTTCGTTTATAAATTTTTAATTCAATTGTTAAAGTTCCTCATCTGGAGGAGCTGTCTGCGCCAGTGCAACATCCTTGGCCGACGCTCTCTCACGAAACTGATCAGGTACAATTATCATGAATATATTGTCATAATTTTCAATATGCGAATGTTTTTGTGTTCCCCGATAATTTTCATATTATCCTGGTATAAAAGATCTATGTATTTAATTTTTTTCTTAATAACAACATTTCAAGTAATATCTCTAATATGTATTACACATTTTCCATCCATCTAACGCAATATTTTTGTATCTTTGATTGTAATTAAATATTTAATTTCGATTTCTTCTTTGTAGATGGCGAACGATTTCTTCATACAAACCGATGGTTTGGCTAACAATTATTTTGAAGAATACTTTGCGAATGTGTAGATAGGTGACGTTGAGTACTGACAATATCCATTAGTACTTTGTTGGTCATTTGACATATATCCTATTTCAAATACCGACTTTTGTCTACCTTATACAGGTGTCATATGACCAAAAAGGTTTTCTGGGTTCATTATTCCATATCTTGATTTAAGAAAAGTCAATGATGCAAGCAAATTATCGAATTTCACACTTTGTTAGTGTTTAGTTAATATTTTTTCGGATAATCTTGTTAGAATAATTGTTATATTGACTTATTTCAGCTACTTGAAAGCTTACCTCAGAAAAATATTACTGTGAAACAGTTTGTGATGTCTAAGGTTTTTAAGTAATCGCGCCAATAAATTAGCCTAATATTTTAATATTAACTTAACTGCAATATTACAATTTTGAGTAATAATAATGATAAGTGCCTTATAAGTAAGTTTTTGACATTTTAATGTATTGTCAATCAATTTTCATCCTTTTATTTATCCAGTGGTTTTTAGCATTTGTAATTAATTTTTGTCATAAATACTACGTAATTTACTTATTTCTAGTCACATTTTGTATCCTGTGTAATCTTGGTCTTTTAATGTAATTTAAAGTTTTATTATTAATTCATTATTCCCTGTGCAATTATAACATTACGTAATTTAGTGCAACAAAAGGATGACTAATCGTTTTAAACGTGCATTACTTAATTGTATTGTATGAATGTATTTGTTTGTATAATTAATTTGTCGTATTGAGCTGATCAATAAAATTTCATTTAATATGAAATTGTCTTTTCAATGTTAGTACCTAACTACTTATTACCCAGAAATACAATATATTTTTGAAACACTACACAGGCTTCCAAAAAAGTTTTTATCTATATTTTAATAAATGTTAAGTGTAAGTTAAGTGTTAATAAGTCTTAAGCTAGAATATAATATACTCGCATATTATAACTTTTTAACTTAAAAAAAGAGTACGAAATCTTGTCTGCTTTCGCTGTGTTCGGTGCCGCGATCTCCTCAACGGTAACCTAAATTACCACCTAATTTACCACACTTAGAAGTAGAATATTTTATTCAGTTATGAATGGGACCACTACAGAGGTACCCCGTTTTCAACAAAAAAGAATAATTGAAGTCGTCTCACAAATGTCTGAGTAAGTAACGTAACATACACACAAAAAAAATGAGAATTTCCTCTTTTTTGAAGTCAGTTGAAAATAACACGTCAGTCATAATTTTTATTCTGTAAAAGACAGAATGCTGCAAAGTGCAACATGTAATTATGTTTCCGAAAGTCTAGGACTTTTATTTGTTTCTCAAAAAGTTTTGGGTGTTGCAAACACCCTCTAAACTCCCTGTACAATGTTAGGATTGGTATGTACAGAAAAGTATATTCTGTAGCTTTTTTACGATGAAAATCGCCGCAACGAACTTTTTGAAAATTCTTCGTACATAATAAAATTGTTTATAGATCAACTGTAGTTTCAAGTATATATAAAATACATATAGCTGCAATTAATATGTGTTTATGTATTATTTCCTCTACGATCATAAATTAAATCTATGTCGACTTAAATGATAAAAAATAATAATTCTGCGAAAACTTTGCTAACATATTTTGGATTTAAATTAATGCGAGTTTTAATACGTTTCTTTGTAACTACTATTATTATATATATAATAATAATATATAATAATAGCCACTGATTAAAATCTACTACTCATTCGTAAGGCAGATTTCCCTATAAGATATTCTGGGACGTAGTTTTTTTGTAAATAAATATTTGTACGCATTTATTTATTACAATATTCATTTCAGCTATCATAGATTGAGACAACCTGAAAGAGCGCAATCGTCACTACCAACAACAATATTACTGTTGAGTTAATAAATGAGTGTAAAGTTTTTGTTTACTTAGTTTTGAACCTCGTTTTTTTTACTTGACAAATTTTGAATATCATCCGAAACCATATTTGCCCCGTGAAGACGAATGTCAAGATACCAAGAAAGCCAGTTTATTATTATTTATTATTATTTTTTAACATAATTTTTTTTAAGTTTTTTATTGAATTTCACGATATTTGACCACCGTGATGTTCAACTATTTTTGTGAAATTACTCCACTAGTTATAATTATTAATACAAAAATCGAACACTTAGAAGAAATTGCTTCAGTGGAATAGATGCCTGTAGTAGAGATCTCACAGATGGAGCTACGGCCTACTACTACGGACTGCGGACTAATAAGTCGTTAAAAACCAAAAACAAAGAATGACAACAAGCGAATAGAAAAACTCGTAAGATTCGCTAGTTCCTTCCACCGCTTAGTTAGCACAGCGTCTGCCACGGTTTGCTAGAAGACGTTGGTTCGAATCCAGCCTGATCGAAGGATTTTTTCTAAGTGTTCAACCTTTGTATTAATAACTATGATATAAATAAAATTTTCATAAATGTACTGTGACGCTAACCTTCTTCTTATCGTATAGATGGCATACACTGTACTGCTTGCGATCGTGGTAAAAGGGTTTGCTAATTGGCCTAAGGTACTCGCCGATTGTCGCCCAGGGCGTGCCAAACGAATAGGAAAAGCATGAGTTGTGGGGAGAGGTTCTTTTCGCGCACCTCAATAGTGTGACTCTAGTGTAAGTATGGTAATTTCTTCAACCTCAAATACACTCTGTGAACTAGAATGTTAACCATACATTTTTGCAGGACAAAAATGTTAAAAAGTTAATCCAGAAAAATACTACCATCATATATTTCTGCCGCCAAGCAGGGATGCTCTCATTACTGAGTTAAGGTTTTGAAGGTTAAGGGTGCTGGTGTAACAAGAAGCTTATAGGACTTGACAACAGTTATGGGTGGGCGTGATCTTAACACTAGGCGCACGACTTATGCGCCCCGTCTCTTGATAATCATCAAAAAAAACGTTGATAAGTATGTTACACTAAAATCAATGTCATGCGCACAAATTCTATCCATAATTATAATCACGTCGCAGCGACCGCGTAGCAATATGCTACGAGCTCTACGACAATACGCTTGTAGCACCGTAGCCGTTTTGTTAAGTATACATTGACTTCGGTCTTTTTTTTCCTTTGTCTTGATTAAAAATAATTAATATAATGATCAGCAAAAGGCTTGTTATTTTTAACAATTAATAAAATTGTCCATTGATTACAATAATAATGGTAATTTGGAAATATAAATTACGGTCTATTTGTTATATCATTACTTACACACCTGTAGATATGTATTTGACCATATTAAAACATAATGTCATTGTGTAGGTACTGTTAGAACGATGCTAAAAAAATTCATTAATTTCGGCACTGGAGTGATTCTTTAGGCTTATATTTTTTAAGGCTATCATATTAAATAATATTAAATGTGACGTCGTTACAAATTATTAAAGCAGGGTTTGCTGATATAAAGATAAATGCTAATTCAATTACATGTGCAGAATAATACATTTGCATAGACGGCCAGTTGCCGAAAGCCTCAAAAAATTTTAATATATGTATATTGACACAGAATTTCTACAGTACCTATGACAATGGTAACCATGAGAATATTCCAGATTGATATATTATTATCCTTTTTAAAAAAAACAAAAGAAATCAGCTAAAGCCAGAAATCACCATGCCGTTCCAAATTCATTTGTTACAATTCAGCGAAAGTAAACAATAGAATGGCGCACGAAATATAACCACGCGCTAAACAAAGAATATGGTTCAAAGCCTAGCCGCATAAATAGAGCATATTTATTGCCTATAAGAAGGATCATCGCAGCAGGTCTGAGAATATTTATGTCAGCTTATCTTTAAACGGTGTAAAAAACTTCATACCTTGTTACTAGTAAATTTCACGCCGAGAGACGTGGATTAAGACTCGTGCGCTACAGAAATATCGATACAACATGTGGATATCGATCGAAAAACCTTTTAACACTCTCATAATCTCACAGAAGAAGAGGCTGAAAGATGACAAGTACGGCGATATTGACATATAATTTCTTTGGCTTTTATCAACCGCATAATTTTTAAACAAATTATCATCACGACGACGAGATTTGTGACATTTGAGTATTCAATTAAAACAGACGTGACGTAAGTGTAACAACCAAAAATATAAATCTGTAACAAGCACATAGAAAAATCCGTAAGGTTCGCTAGTTCGTACCGTGGCTTAGTTGGCACAGCGTCTGGCACAGTTTTCTAGAAGACGTTGGTTCGAATCCAGCCATTGAAATTCCAGGCACATGGAACTTGCCAACTTGTCTCATATTATTATATCACTATGTAAGGACTGAAAGAGTACTTCGGAGAACGCTTGTCTGTGTCCTACACTTTTTGAATAGGTTTTTCTTTTATATAATATCAAGTGACGAGACGAACAAGTTGTGCGCCTCGTCAATAATATCCTTATCCTCGCCTGTCCTTAATAGTTGCAGTGCCACTCAGAGCTTTAAATCGCAAAGATATGAGGGGCACTTCCACTGCGCCTGTCATCCGCAGACATACGTTGACAAGTCCCATGTGCCTGTAATTTCATCAGCACCCTTACCATTCAAACCGGAATCAGAACGCAGTAATGCTCACATTACTGCTTGGCGGCAGTACTTCACTGGACGAACTCTTTCACAAGGCGCTCTAATGCTACTAAAATGATACATTTTGCGTTAAATTAACTAATCATCGCTTAGTTTAACTGTAAAAAAATATACACATGTCGTGGAAGGTTTATAACTTTACACAATTAAATGATATGTGAAAGCTCTCGACCCGCAATTGGTCAGCATAGTGGACCTTGCATATGAGACCCAACAGTGTAAGGTAACTTGCTGATGATGATTATGAAGATAGTAAAATGGCGTGCACGCTATACTGTTAACCAATAATTATTGTGTCCATTAAAAAAAAACAAAAATTAATGTAATTAATGGTATGTAAACTTTATGCACATATGGAGTATATACTTCATACAAATTCATTAGTACAATTAACCCCCATTAAAATTTTGTCGGTCGATATAAATTAATTAAGGAAATATTATATGCGTCATAAATATAGGTAGTATAGAAGACATGAACCTTACATTGCCATAAAATCTTTAAAGTATTTAGTGTATAAGTAATTTTTTAATGACTTTTTGCGCCAGTATACTACATATTTTATCATTTAAGCTATAAAAAAAATATTTTTTTCGTTAATGAATGGCTTGTGAGACCAATTTATTGTCTCAATTCTGCCAGTGTCCGTTACGTATTAGTTTCATAAACATCATTGAGGGAGTGTACATAGAAAGTGTGTTCGAAGACTCAGAGGGAGTATCGAAGAGATTTTTGCACAAGTTGATCCCTAGAACAAAAGAGACAGCATAAATTGGACAACACATAATATATATAATAATAGTAACAATATATAATATTTAAGTACAAGTGTACTGTTTACATACGAACAATATTTACAATTTAATATGATTCACATATATAAATTCACAGAGAACATGGTATATTTTTGGTTGAGAGGACAGAGACAAAAGGCATTTAATGGAAGTAGGAAGAGGAATAGAAAGAGGGAGAATATCATACGGGAATGTCGCAATTTAGTACAATCAAAGAATATATGGTCCACGTTTCCTTTATCTAAACCACACTCCACAATGAGTTATCCCTAATCCTTATTTTAACCAGATGAACGGGAGTGTTGATGTAGTTTCTTTATTGGCTGAACGGT